GTACATAATGCTGTGCTGCGCCATTGATGATGACTGACGTAAAAAGCACTAGACCCACATTAAATAGAACTATGCAAATATTCGCATACGCGGACGACATTGCTATAGTAAGCAAAAACATCCACCTCTTGTTCAAAACTTTCACTGATATTGAAGTGGCAGCTGTTCAAATTGGCCTAAAAATCAATGAAGATAAAAGGAAATATACATGTCTAGAAAAAACAAAGCAGTACCAGTAAAAATTTACCAATATGCACTTGAAACTGTGAAAGCCTTTATTTTATTGGGCTTCGACCTCAGTAGCGGTAACTCAACAAGCCGAAACAGTATCGAAACAGTTGTATCGAAACAGTAATACAAGCCGCCAATAGATCATACGTGTCCCTTATCAAACTGTTCAAATCAAAACTACTCAGTAGGCAATGTAAAGTGGCCCTGTACAAAACGGTCCTTCGACCAGTATTGCATTTGTGGAGTAGAATCATGGATGCTACACTAAAATGATAAAAGTAAGCTGGAATTCTTCGAAAGAAAGACCCTAAAAAATCTTTGGAGCAATAAAAGATAATGACGCGTGGCGTATAAGATGGATGCATGCGCTAGACCAACTTATAAGGAGTAGCCATCTAGATCTCCAGATTTGACTCCCTTTGAGCAAACAAAGTGCTGTTGTGTTAATTGTAAATCAAATTATACGATAGCAATCTCTTGACGAATTCGAGGCAAATATTCGCTCCAATGATCCGAGACGTTTAAAAAAAAAATTAAACACCATGTAAAAAGTGTAAATAGCATACTCTCGAAAGGACCGCTCTCTTTACCGCCTACCAAAAATAAAACACTATGTAATTTGTTTTTCATTTCTTTTATTTAAATTTGTGTTTGTTTTTGTTGGTTCATTTAAGTTATGTTCTGTAGTTATTTGAAACATTCGTCTTTGCTTTGTTATGTATTCGTCTGTTGGCTATTACGCACTGCTTCAATGAGTTATCGGCTTTTCTTTTATCTAAATTGGCTATTTTTCCCCATTTAAATGCAATCAATCTATTTATTTCATAACGGCGCGGTTTTTAGTGTTATTGTTGTTATTACTGCCTTACTGTTTGTTGTAGTTTTCTTATCTCACATTTTTATTGTTGCATACCAAAACATTTTATTTACCAAATTTTTTCTTTTTCGCGCTTTAAGTATTTTGTTTTTGTTATTATTTTTTATGTATATGCACAATTCTTTTATTAAATATAATTCTTAAATATTAAGCATTGTAAATAATTTACTTTTCATTCAACTCAATGTTTTATTTCTTTATTTTCAGCTTTTATTAATTCTTGTGTTCTTTTTTCATCAGTTAACATTACGACTAGCTTTTTGTTGTCTTTATCATTGAATTTGTGTACTTAAAGTCTATTATTTCTTATAAGTTATTAATAGCTACTTATGTTCACATTTAATTTTATTTAATATTTTGAATTTTGAATTCATTTGCTTTTCATTAACATCTACATAATACCTATAATCAACATCTTGTTTTGTATGTCTTCAAATTGGCGTTTGTTTGTATTCCGTTTTACGTTTGCTAACTAACTCCCTTAGCTTTTACTAAACACCTGTAATTAAGAACTTTCCTAGTCTTGAGAGATTCAGATTTTCAACTGCAGGTTTCGGAATTAAAAAATTTCCACAGTTGAATCGTGAGAGCTTTCACTTTATCCAAAATATTGTTTAAAATAATAAAATACCGATAAAGGTTTTCACTCACTGCCAGAAAACTACACTTATAATTGAGAGCTTTTATAATGTTGAGGGCTTTAGATGCTCATCTGCAAGCTTAGGAATTAAAGTTTCTTTACTATTAAATAATGAGAGCTTTACTTGCATCAGAAACTTTAAGTTATTGTTGCAAAAAATATATATATATTGTATTTCAATGAAATAAATATTGTATTCCAATGTCAGAAATCTTCATCTATGAAATAAAATAACAGATTTGATGTAACTTGAAGGGTTATAGCCGCAATAGACTAGCAATAAAATTGCCATGAAGCTTTGATTACAATATGGGGAAACTCTTAAGTTTAGACATCAAAACCTTTGAAATTATTTATGATTAAATTCCATAAAAATGTTATATATTGCAACCAAGCGAACATATGTACATTTTTGTAAAGCTTTTTTGCCCGTTAAATGATTCAAAGCATTAAATTGAGTTTAATGAAATTTCATCGAAGCATCTTTTACGTTTTTGGCCATTTTCAGATAGGATAGGACTTTTACGCAGAAATTTTCCAAATTACTCACCAATTTCACGCTCAATGCTTTGAAATTTTGACCACCTTACTAAGTTCGATTACATAACGTAGCAAACTTTCCTTAAATGAGCTTTCATTTTGGTCTGTTATAATCTTTATTAATTTACACCAAAGTTTTCGCTATAAAAAAAGTTAAATAAAAGCTCTTGTTATTCGGCGGAACATTGAAGTTTATGTAAACCGAGTCCAGTAAAAGCTAAAACAGTTTGTTGCTTCGTCATGGCTTCTTATACTACAGCTTCCAACTTCTTCTCCGCATTACGACTTTTTTCACCTTTATTTTGTTTCTGTCTTAAATACCAACATTCCTTTATAATAATTTCAAGGGCGAAATTAATTACAAAAGCGTTTTTTTCAAAGTTTTTTTTTCATTGTTATCTTATTGTTGCAACATCATTTGTTAACACATTTATGCAATAATTTAAAACTACTTTTAACCAACCATTTTACATGCTTTTTAATTAGTTTCGCACCGCACATTATACAAAAAGAAAAAAAATATGTATATATATATGTATGTATATTTCAATTGCCTTAAATAGCTTTTGATCGTTTGATTTTATAAAATCAGATTTGCAATATTTTCCCTATGAAATATTTTACAATAGCAGCTGTTTTTATCTTCTTATAATCCTATGTATTTTATCCAGTGTGCCTATAGGTTTATTTTTCATGGCAATTAGTCAATTTTAAGTTTTACTATTAATTTTCATGTTACATTCAATACTTACCATTTACTCTTAACTACAGTTAATTTTTGTTCTTATTTTGCTTAAGTAAATATTTTTACAATTTCCATAAAGTAATTTCTTGTTGCTACAAACATGACTTTTGCGGTTTCCCTAGATAATTTTTGCCACACTTAACATTTGCTTGGAGTTTTATTTCTTTTGCTGTTTACGAGTATATTCACAATTATCATAAAAATAAATATTTTTTATTTTACTTATTTGCTAGACATAAACAACATTTAACACAATCCTGCAATGCACGCTTTTCCTCTATTTACAACTTTGGAACTTTTGTGACTTTTTTAAAGTTACAAACAAAAAATAACGTCTTTGGAGGGCTTAATTTCGACTGTTTTTATTAAAAGTCCATAAAGCAAAGTCTTTTATTTTATTTAGTATTTTCAAACCAGACATGAAAGTTTGAGCTTAAAAAGGTTTAACTCAGCATTTTTCAGAAGGCGTTATTGCAAAAGCTTTCTCAGAGAATTGTATAAAAAATTGTTTTCAAACTTTTAAAGTGTAAAGGTATTAAAAATATTAAGAATTTTATATTATTTATTATATTAGTATTTAATAGTAATGGGAATAAGAATTCATATGCTTACTAATAGGTTATGCGCACTGAAAATCAGACAAAGCTTTTTCTTACAGCTTTCACTTTACTTTTTACTTAGTTTAAAATAAATGAAAGCTTTCATTAACAAAGCGGGAAGAGGAAATTTTAAATAAATTGAAAGCATAATGCCAAACTGATGAGAATGCAGCGAAATTTCTAACTAACTTTCACTTTACTTTTAACTAATTTTAAAACAAATGAAAGCTTTCATCAACACTAGAAAAAATATTAAATAAATTTAACACTTAACACCAAACTGATGAAAATGGAATTAAAGCTGTTATGAATTAAAAAATGTCTGTTATTTTTAAAAAGTTAAGAATGAGATTCCGAAGCACATTAAACGTGAAATTTATAATACAATAAAGTACAACATTAGACTTAGAAGAACACATTTGGAGGAGATTTAAAAAGTTGAGCAGAACTCGAAAGTTATTCTTAATACCTCAAGACTGTTGGAACTTTTCTGAAACATTGAGGATGCAATATTTGTCCAAAGTTTTTTCAAAAACTAGAAGCAAAGAAAGCTTAAATCAATTATTTGAGCCCTTTACAATTTTGTACCGATAAAAGTTCACATTTATTATGAATTCTTTTAATCGTAGATCTTGAACGGTTAATAAATATGGAAAGCCCATTTAGATGTTAAAAGCTGTTTATATATATATTAAGCTGAAGAAATGCAATTTTTAACTGAAAGTTAAAATTAAAATGAGCTTGAATTGAATCTTCTAAAGTGTTCAAAACAGACAACTCAAATATTATTTAAAAAAAAATATGCTCTAAAACTTTTAGCGAAATTCATACTATTAGCAGTAGAAATATTGCTTTTATTTGGAAAGTAATTTGTATCAGTAATATTTTTATGCAATTATTAAGCCAACGTAAAATTAGCATTACCTGTATTATTCAAAAGAGTGTTCAATGTTTCATACTCCTTTCGTTATTTCTTCATATTTTCCTTTAATTTTTGTAATCCTACACAATTAAATCAAATTAAATTTTCTTGGAAGGAATTTCTTACCACATTTTGCGTATCAATTTATTATTTTTGTTTTTACCAATAACATTACAAATAACATTTTCTTATTATATACAAAATACACTAATATTATTTCTTTAATTATAATATGTTGTACGCCTAAAAGTATGCAATTTTCTTAAATGCGCTTAAATATACGTTATTTTTTTTTTAAATATTTTTCAAATTAAACTTACTTTTGTTGTAATTTACAAACGCACAATTTTAAAAAAATGCTTTAATAAAAATCAGTCAGTTGCTAAATCTTTTTTAATTAATTTTTCTTTTTGATATTTAATTTTAATTTAAATTTTTACCTTTCAACTTTATATATTATGATATAAAAATTTATTAAAGAATAACCATTCCAAAAGGGAACTCAACGATTATTACTTTTTAAATTTTGCAATTATTCTTTTTTATCTAATTTTTTACACATTACACGCGGTTAACTTTAAAACTTTTTCATTTCGCTTTAGAGGCAAATATATTTACAAAGTGAACTTAAGTATTTGGAGTTTTGGTATATTAAGGGCTTTTTATACAAAATGTTCATGAAAAAGTGGGAATAATATTGAAAAAGAAACTGGTTTTGTATATTTTGAAACTGTTTCGAAATTTAGATTTGTGCGAATTATATAATTTTACTAAAATTTTGTATAGTTTTATAGATAGTTTGATAACATATTACATTTTTTCATGTTTTTTTCTTTAATTAAAATTTAAAAAAATTTTATTCCAAATAGGTATGGTTAAAAGTTTTTTTGAAAATAACGAAATATGTAGCTTCCGTTAAAAATTTTGAAAAAATGTAATAAATACTACTAGATAGTAATTAATAAAAAATTTAAGTTTTCAAGTTTTCGTTTTTTTTACTTAAAACGCACAATTTAAATTTTTATAAAAGAAATAATATTCGTGATATTTGTCTTTATTTAAAATGTAAAAAGTTTTTTTTAAAACAGGTGTAGTTAAAAGATCGATAGGAGATTTTGCAAATTACGAGAATTAAAATCTATGAAAAAAGGCATTCAATACTATACGTTACGTTTGTGAAGCTTGCAAAAAAATTCTAGCACAAAAAAATGTGTTTTTTGTTTAAAATTAGTTTTAAGAAATAAAAAAGTTTTATAAGCATACATAAAAGTTTAGAAACCTATAATGTTGATCTTTTTTGGTTTTTACGAAAATGTATAATCATATTTTTATTATGCAAAAAGTAGAAAAATTTAAAAAAGCACTAAAAATTCTCAAATTAAAAATTTTTTTTATAAATTTCAATACGATTTTATTTATAGTTTTTAATTTAAAATTTTAAAATCTACATACTTAAATACTAATTTAAAAATATATTTAAAAAAAAATGTAATACGAAAAAATTAAATGAAACTGAAAAATATACGAGCACATATCCCAAAAGAAATGTGAATACATTTTAGAAATTTCGAAATTTGAAATTTTTATTTCGAAAAATATGTTTAAAATTTATACAGAACAATGTTTTTTAATTTTTTGAAATTTCGAAATTTGAAATGCTTAGTACGCAAAATATTTTTAAAAGTTATGATATATATTTGATATATTTTACAACTAAAATCACTATAAAAACTAATTTTTACACTACTTAATTTAATTTGGCAGCAACTTCGTTATACAGGAGCGTCCTTCAAGAGCATAGACGCTGGTATGTAGTAACAAACTGCACACAAAAATCTGCAGCCTACAACAATGCTTACTTGGTGCATAAGCTGAATATTGAAAATTAAAAACTAATAGGCGAAGCGTTATTTAATAACGGCTTACAGCTATATGCAAATGATGTACGTACACAGTTTGCGATAAACTCAATGCTTGGCACACTTATGGGCGCCAAGCACGCCTTTTCTGAACACCGATGCGCTAGTCTAATAATAAAACATTTATTTGTATACGCAACTAGTAGTAAGTACTTTTGCTAGGTTGATAGTTAGTTTAGTAGCCCAAGAACCTAAACATAAAATGTCCGCAACCTTAGAAAACTAATTACCGAAGTCGTCACTTAACTAGGTAATGTACGTATGTGTAATGTAGTTAGCAAGTTCTTAGGTTGTAAGTAGTTACTGAAGTAGTTACACTTTGTTAGCGGAAGGGGATTAAGTTATGCATTTTTGATTTTTTTGTTTTTGTTTTGAGCTACATAGTTCAATGCTAGTATATAACGTACTTAAGTATATACTTAGTTAACTAAGCATGCATGTATGTAATAGTTGGGGTATGTAGTATGTATACAATATAGTTTAGTAGAGGATAGGATAGCACACATATTCATTTTGGAAAATATCATGTTTTTCTTTTCGTTTTTGCTCAAATATACGCTTATATAGTAAGATTTAGGATATTCTAGCATAGTCATATATATATAAATATATATGTGTATGTATATATAGTTAGACGTTAGTAGTAATTTGATTTTATAGTATTCGCTAATACTTTTGCTTTTGACATACAGTTGGCATTACAAGCTAGTTTTGCAGTTGCATTAGTTAGAAATTAATAAAAAAAAAAACATAAAAATAAAAATATTTTGAAGAAAACACTAAATTAACACCCGCATCACCTAACTCCAGCCACGCCTACTTAGTGCGCGCCCATTGCATAGTAGCAACACAAATGTCGCGAGTATGCACGCTATAGCGCCGGCGCCGTCATGCTGGCGACGCGCACTACGCGCCGCTGCACCCGCACCGAACACCGGAAAGTGTATCTCCTCGGGTTCGCTCAGCTCTTCTTCCTCATCGTCCACTGTATTGGAGACGGCGCGATAACGCATGGTAAAGTTCACTTTGAATGTCGCCTCGGCCACGCCACCCGGCGAAGAAACGATGAAGTAGAAAGTGCGCGGCACACGCTCGTGCATGCTGACGTAGGTGAGGCGCGCCTCCTTGCAATACGGTGTGGGCAGGTCCTGTAAATTAAGTAGCGAAATATTTTTGTTAGCTTTTAGTGAACTTTTGGGTGTTTATGCATATCAAATTTACCGTTACGCCATAAGCCAGTACAGTGCTGCCATATTGATTGCCGGGCGTGTAGACACGATCACCGTGCAGCCAGCGCGCGGCATGCGCGGGGGGATTGGCACAGAATTCTACGGCTAAATGCAGCGGCGAGCCGGGATAGGCGACTGGTGTGGAATTGCGTGCCACTACGGTGGGAGAGCCTAGAAAATTCAACAGAAAAATATTATTATTTAAAAGGTCTAATTCATAAATATAATTAATTAATTATTTTAATTACTATTATATATATGGTATTTGTACATATTTGCAATAAAATTTGGCTGGGAAGTTAGTAAGTTGAACTTTTAGCCACTCTAATAGAGCTTTTATTTCTCTAATAGAGCTTTCAAAGCACACTTTATCTTGTAGTCTTGCTAATCATAGATTTTTCCAGTACATTTTTTGGAAAGGTAGAAAAATCGGTAATATTTTAAAGTTATGGAAAAGGGCAAAAAGAAGTACAGCAGTTAGTCCTGAGTTCGGAATGTTACGTATTTATTGTCACCCAAGGGAGATTGGTATTGCAAATGGGCGGTATCGGACCACGGCTACAAAATGCCATTAAGCGAAAATATATAAAAGGCTTTAACCAAGATTCAAATTAAGATACAAAATCGTTAATTAGTTTGGTGAGCATATCGTATACAACTACAATATTTCAACCAACTAATTCTTAATTTACTGTGAAAATGGGTTAAATCTAAAAATAAACACGCCCACTCCGTATATAACGATATGTTGAAAACTACTAAAGGGACGAAAACTCAATAAATAATCACGTCAGATATATTTTATTTTACACCCGCAACAGCACGGAAGGGTTTCATGGGACCTGGTATAAAAATTGGACAATGGGCATGACACCGACCAATTTTGGGCGAAGTCTTATATTTCAGGAACTAATCAAGTAATTTCGATCACATTTGGCGCATGACATTATTTTAACATTCGTTTAATATATTCTGAAAATGGGCGAAATCGGACAAAAACCAGCCTACTTTCTATATAACATATACAATTTTCAAATTCGATATAAGTCTTTAACTTTACAGAATATAAATCAAGCGCCAATACAGTGATGGTCATTTAACCTTGAACGGTGCATCCGAGGTAGGTTTTCTCACGTCCAAAAATAGTCCAAGTGGGACCATAACTTTTTAAGTTTCCTCATATCGAACATGTGATCCTCAGCGCTTAAATATGAGTCTATACCGCTAATGTCATTAAAACGCTCCGGTATATTATTGAAATTCATAGACAATATATTAATGATAATAGTAAGTGCTTGAGTTCAATCATAGTAAAATCGGGTAAATACCTACATTTGACCCAAATACCTATTATAAAGTTTTTTAAAGTTCGGGTTAGCTTTATACCCTATATAACGGTCAACATGTCAGATACTTTAAGGAAATGTAGAGAGAAACTCTCTCTCTCTAATAAAAATTTAATGAAATTGGCTTAGGGGGTATCCCTCTAAACCCCATATATCTAAAAAACGAGCTTCAAGCTTTCGGTAGAATTTATACCTCATATATCGATCACCTTCCGATCTCAGATCGCCCGCAAATTATTTTTCCTATCATACAATTCCTAGTTTATACACATGTATACAAATTAATTCTTTGGATAACGATTTCGTGAAAACGAAGTAGACTCATACCACAACTGTTTTAAAGTAAGTTTCACTTCAACTCAATTAACACAATAAATTTGAAAAACTGAAGAAGTAATAATTCCGATACAAATTTGCATAGTTTTTTGATGTCTTTTACTCTACGGAAGCTTTTAAAATAATTTAATTTCATACGTCTTGCTTTTGCGGTTTAACTTGGCGTACCACGAGCAAGAGACTCTTTATAGCTCCGATTCGCTGACGGTGGCAAGCAACTCAATCATACTATATATTTATAAACGTAACAGTACACATATATATAGAGTGATACACAGCTTAATGGGATTAAGCCCGCCTTATATACAACTTCATATAAGTATGTATATATGTAGGTATATATTATATACTAGTGCAATTCCACAATTTCTCGTGACAAAAATACACTTGGTAATGGAGTTTCGTAATTTTCTCAACTTTGACACAATAACTACACACACATAGGCAAACTAACATATACACTAACATTTACACATTTCTTATGTATATTCTCTGTGAAATGTTGAAAGATTTCAAACTTGAAAGTGAGTTGAAAAGTTTAAGTGAAAAACCACGACCACATTGTATTTTTACTCACATTTCTGATTTACGCTCGAAAATCTTAGTTGCTGTGTGCTTTTCTTGAACAGAAGAAGTCGTTTAAAGTGTGTCTACTAAATACTTTTAATTGGCGTGAAGTGCAAAACTTTGTAGGAGCTATCTATTAAGAAAGTATTATTCGTACAACAAAAGTTCGTAAGAGCTGTCTATTAAAAATTCATCATTATATAATTGCTGAGGATCTTTATAACAAATTTTTGTAGGAGTTGTAGCCTATCCCAATGGACTGGCGTTATGAACTGTCCAAGTGTGATCCGCCATATTTTTTAATATCGACTTAACCTATCCTAAATACAGTCATGAATACGAACTAAGTCTAGAAGCACATTTGGCTGGTATCTGCTTGGTTCAGTCAACCATAACACTTTTTCGGCTCAACAGATGCGAAAACTCACGGCGTTCGTTATATTGAGCTTTTTCATCTGCAGTTTTTGTTCGAAACTCTAAATGTAATCGCACATCGAAAGTAGTGTGGACTATATGTGACAGCTGCTCTAGAAAGTTTTTGTGAAAGCTCGCTAAAGCTCCAAGAGTTGAAACAATGCAAATTGAAGCAAATGAACAGAGCAACATTTAATGCCAAGTCCAATGTTTTCATTGTCTTTTTATGGCGTCTGTAAAAACTGCTCTAACAAGTTTTATGAAAGTTCAAATAAATATTTTGTAAAAGATTAAAAATTCAATCAATGTATCGGAAATATAATATATTTTATTTTTAGACGTTTTTTTAGCTTTATTTAAATTTTTTTAGCTTTGTTTAAATTCCAAATATTTTTTTTGGCAACCGTTGTCACTTTATCACCGTGGCGCAGGTGTTGGCAATAAGCGCTTAAGTACCATCAAAATGTCTGCACCTCAATTGACGTCAAACATTCACTTGAATAACAGCAATAACAACATTTACAAATGTGCGCACGCAACCCTCTTATATGTATCGTTACTAATTGCTGTGTCGTGTGCAAAAATTCGTGTGTAAAAATTTAATTTATTTGCCTAAACTCCGGACCGCCATTATTTTGCAGTATTTCATACATATGTACATACTGGTATTGGTGCATGCCGGAAAGGCCTTAAATTACTATAAAATCATTTTGGAAACCTTTGCATATGTTAGGGCGCAACAACGCTTTGCTGCTGCCCAACGAAGCATGTGGCAGCATTTCCAAATGGATGGTGGTTGTATCAAGGTTGGTTGGATCCGCCACTGCTAAGCCACCTTCAATGCACCCAAATACGCCAGCAATGCCCTCTGGCCTTGCAACAGCACTGCTCGTTCACTTTTGTCCATTGGTGAGATTTTTAATTTGATTTTCGGCAATTTGCGCGCGCGTACAACACCCCAAATACCCGGCACAGACACACGGCTGACCTCGGTCATTTTGCCCCTTCTCTTTCGTACAAAATATTATTAAGCCCACTCCGATGCGTTTGCTTTAGACTCTCAATCGCCGCACTTTCTCTTTGCTACCTTACAGTTTTCATTTTCATTTAGTTGTCTCGTTTGACTCTTGCACCATTTGCCTTTCGATTTCACCATTTTGTTCGATGAAATTTTTCATGCTGTAACTTCTGGCCACTGATTGCTTTCGGCTGGTGGTGGCTTTCCATCGTTGGTTGGATTCATTTGTTTATGCTTGATCGGCTAGCCTATAGTCTTTTACGGTAGTCCTTATGTCATGAACAAATTGCTCACTGGCTGTGTTTGCTTGCCAGTACATATATGACGGGAGTGCTACGAAATTACTGAAGTGCAACAGATAAATAAATACAAAACTATTTCATATATAACTTTGGAGGTGGAAATGGAAAACTCCAAGGGAAGATGAAATAGAATTTTCATTCAAATTTAGTTGAGTAATCACAACTGCTAAATGTGAAAGCTTTATTTAGGTAGTTTTATAAAATAAAAGATCATACTTTTGCAATGGAAATTCGAAATAAGTGTTTTGTTATGAAAGTGTTTGATTCATCTGGATACAGAACGAAAATGATTTTTCAAAATTTCGAATGAGTTTTCATAACAATTGGAGCTTTCGCTGTTTTAAAAAAAAATTTATATTTTAATGTTAGGAGTTTTTCGTTTAGTAATGAAATTGTTTGATTCATCTCGAATAAAAAATATTACCTTTTCAAAAATTTCCATGAGCTTTAACTTTTTTCAACAATTTTTGACATTTTATTGTAAAGATAATTGTGATTTGTTAAAGTAGCTTGTGTTGTACACATAAATACAAGTTATATATATATTTTTTTTTTTGAAAACTGGAATGTACTTACTATCCCTTTTTTTATTTATGAGAAGTATGCGAAAATATTGAAAGAAGAAAGCCATATAATTTGAAACGAATTTTATTATTTTATAGTAGATTTTTTTGATTTTAATACTAAATAATACTCCAACTTGACATATTTGGCAAAAAAAAATTTTGATTTCTGTTGTTAAAAAACGAAAGTTTTCACTTCTTTAAGCTTTGGTTTTTACCTTAGTCAGGGCAATTGTCGAACTCAATTAAACATTAAAAAAGGGATTAAATCATTAAGAAGAGTAACGTATCGTCCAAAAGACGCCATAAATTTATGAATTATTTTTGAAGAAAATATGAAAAGCTTACAATTCTTGTATAAGTATTTCTTTGAGACAATTGTGATTCTATGCTATTATAATGAAAACTGGCTGACAATTCTTATAAATGTTTAAAAAATGTAAGTGAAAGTTCCAAACAAAGCTTTAATAATACACCTCTAAAATCTTTAAGCTCGTAAAAAGCTTCAAAGCGTTGCACAGCTGCTGTGCCTTAGAGCTTGAATTAGCTATATCAGACTTCTTGTATACAATTAAGTGAAATGAGCACACACATACAAGAAATATGGCTATTATGAAATTAATTG